CCCCAAAACCCCAAAACCCCAAAACCCCAAAACCCCATAAATGAGCGAATATTTTGAAAATTGAGAATAATTTTATCAATGGAAAGTTCAGACAGATATAACCTTATTGTAGTTGGACTTGGATGAGCAGGCCTTTCAGTGGCTCATTATTTTAGTACTCAGATGGAGGGAGCTAAGATTCTTGGTCTTGAAAAGAACTCTATCTCTGGAGATTTGGGTACATCAAGTCTTGGACATTCAAGACTGTTCAATTATACTCCAGGCTTTCCTTTAAGGAATGAGATGTATGAAGACAGTAAGAAAATGTGGAAAGAAATTGAAGAGAAAACTCAAACTGAGATCCTTCATTATACTACACTTCTCTATTTAGGAAGGCCAGATTGGAGACTGATCAAAGATGCTAAGAAGGAGATCCCAGAAGAAGAGTTTTTATCCCCAGAGAAGATTTCTGAAATGTACCCTGCTTTTGAGAATATTCCAGAGGATTACACTGGGTTTCATATTGAAGATGCTGGCATTATTAAGAGTAAAGTAGCCCTTCAGGTTTACACAGATATGTGACAGGAACAAGATATTGAGCTTAAGTACAACACAACTGTTACTAAGATCTCTAAGAATGAGGTCCAGACTGAGGATGGAGCTATTTATAATGCTGACCATGTTGTAGTTGCCACAGGTCCGTTTACAGGAGAACATTTTGAGCATGAGGATGAAGAGTTTGTTTCAATGGAACAAGAGTTTTATGAATTTGGAGATAAAGAAGGACTTCCGACTATGTTTCAAGAGGACTCAGAGTTTGGGTCGATGCTTGGGTGTCTTGACAATGAAGATCTCTTACAATATAAGGTAAGCAGGCATGGAGATATCAATAGAACAGATGCTGAAGCTTGGATTCGTCATAGGATCCCTTCAAAAGCAGAAGATATTCTAAAAAATTCTCAAATTTTCCAAGCGAGGTGGTGCTTTAGAAAAGGAAAACATTTCGTGTATGAGACGAAGAATGGGGTTCACTATACCTATGGCTTTAGAGGAAATGGATTCTTCTACATGCCATTGCATGGGAAGGTAGTGTTTGATACACTTCTGAAGAAGGGCCCATTGAAATATGCTTTGATATAAATATCAAGATTTAAGATATTCTGACGTTCAGTACGTTGCATTCAGCCCTATCTATCTTCACAGGGGTTTTGGGGTTTTGGGGTTTTGGGGTTTTGGGGTTTTGGGG